TGAATACTCTTATCGTCGTAGACTTAAATGCGTCTACCATTGACTGGAACTCCGCCTCAGCCGATTGCTCTGAAACAGCATTCGATCAGCAGCTTCTGCATACAACTGAAACCCTGCTTCATATCCAACACGTCACTTTTCCGACGAGATTTTGTGAGGGCAAGCGGATAAACTGTCCCGACCTTGTGCTCATTCAGTCTCCCGATAATATCAGCATTGTGAATTGCTTTGCCCCACTAGCCCAGAGTGACCTCGTAGCTCTCGTGTGGGAATGCACTATTTTCATCATCTCCGACCAAATATTGGGCGTGGCGATTTTGAGCAGATGAAACATGATCTTTGTTCTACTGACTGGGCATCCACGCTCTCCGACAATATCGACGAAGTTTGGGAACAATTTAAAGAGATAGTTCACAACCTCCCCTCTAGCCACTGCCCAACCACGCGCAGAAGCCTAATGAACAGACCTCGCTGGTTGACTCCATTGCTAAAAACTGAAGTTAATAAGGAGAGACAACTGTGGAAAAGATCCTTTATTGATAAGGCGCTTGAATCCTTCAAAAAGTTACGAGTTGCAGAGAAGCCGGGTCAAAAGTCAAATCGCCAGATCCTCAAAAAGGATCTGTTAAACGGTGCCATGGTTAATCCCAAATTCCCTTACAGTTATCTAAAGCAGAGATCACAGAACACGAATCCTAGCCCTCTATTGAGAACTGCCGAAAGTGCAGAAATCTCGGGGGATAAGGATAAGGTTAAAGGCCTCTCTCAGTTCTTTCGGCTCCTCGTGACGACTGAACCCGATTTTTTCACCCACTTATGAAGACGAGGTGATGCCTTTTATTAACGCAATCCTTTTTCCCGAACAAATAATTCAGACGGAGTTGCCCAACTTGGAAGAATCGACCTCCCCAGGCCCCCATGAAATACTGGCCAAGTTGTTGAGGGAGCTAGCTTCTGAAATATTCAGGCCGCTAGCCTTAGTATTCCAGGCGATATTTAATACTGGGTGCCTACATGGAAGTCCGCAACGATCACTCCGCTATTCAGGAGTGTAAGTCGAGCCTCTGCAAATAATTGCAGGCCAGTGAGTCTTACCTCCATTATTTACAAGACCGCGTAGAAAATCATTAGGCAAGAGTTGATGCAGTTCCTTGAGCAGAATCACTTCCTTTCCGATGCCCAACACGGCTTTCGCAGTGGTAGGTCCTGTCTCACGAATGTGCTCTTCTCACGTGTGCGGTGGACCAAAGCACGTGACGAAGGCAAAATAGTGTAAGCTATCTATATTGACTTCAAAAATCCCTTCTACAGCGTCCCTCACAAACACCTCTTGCATAAACCGCGCAGCGCACCAGTTTGCGGAGCCTTCTTCATATGGATCCAAAACTTTTGACCGGACGGCCCCAAAGAGTACATGTTGTGCGCCCGCAGTCCTCAGGGGTACCTATGGTGAATGGCGTCTCATAGGGCTGGGTTTCAGGTCCCATATTATTCCTTGTTGTCACCAACGACTGTGTCAGGGCCCTAGACTGCGATGTCACCCTGTTTGCTGACGACATCAAATTGCGGTGAGTTTTTCAAAATACGGAAGATAAAAACCACCTGAAAGCCAACTTGAGCAGGTCGGAGGACTGGTCACAGCACTGGCTTATGTCCTTCAATGTCAGTAAATGTAACTTTCTTCGAATCAGCAGTTGTGGAGCCTCCAGCCCGAAAAGTTAGTTCTTAAACGTTACACCCCTATAAGTCAGCAGTCTGGTGGCGTAGGAACTGTCGGCCGAGGGTCGGAGAAAAGGAAATGTTTGAGTGGCGCTTGGGCAGCCGCGACAACCTGGACGCACGTGTGTGTGTCCGAGTGGAAGTCG